AAAAGAATTTAACAAAAAAAAGAAAAAATTTAATATATTCTAGTGCTTGCTTTGGCAGCACATATACTAATATATATTCTTTATTGTGCTTTCTTAAAACAAGGGATACCTGTTTTGCAGTGAAGTCTGACACAACTGCAGAGATTTTCCAGGAATTTTTCCTAGTCAGTGGCTTGAAAGTCCAATTCTAAATGAGGAGATAACATTATTTACAATTTTAAAAACCAAAATGTTCAAGGATAGGCATTACTATTGCTTTCCACCTCTCAATATCATGGAAAGTCATCGGATAGAGGTACATACATTCAGACACAATGGGGAGAAGTGAGAATGAAAAGAGGGGAAATAAAGTACGATGAAACAAAACGTAAGTTTATAACAGTAAAGGACAATTATATACAACATAAGGATAGAAACAAATGTCACAAATTCAGCATCAAGGTTTTCCCCCACCTAAAAGATCTGGTTAAAAGGAGGTGTTGGTAAAATTCCAGTGGTCTTACTTCTCAATTAACAAACCATCCTCTACAGTTTTATTTGTTGTCCAAAAAAATAGAAGATATAAAGAAAGAATAGGCTGATTTTTAAGGGCTCCAGGACTCTTAAAATCAAAGTAAAGTGCCCTATTGGGAATTACCAGAGAAATAGGTTTAATTCTGAGAGGTTGAGTAAAACAAACTGGCAAGTCGCAAACTTCCCAGTGGAAACTGGGAACAGGAGTCAAAACTCACAAGAGTCAAACACAGAAAGAGCAAGAGGTTTTGTTAACTGTCTGTTAGAAAGAATATCCCATAGCCGCAAGGATTCATTTCTTGAAAATGGTAGATAAATAAAACTGCTATATTGCAATAGGCAATGAACTTGACACGAGGGGACTCTGACACTGCAGAAGACTGCAATACTTACTGTTCCATCTGTCAGTCTGTATCTTCCTACCTCTTACATGTCTGTAGGCCACATATACTGAAAAGAAGTCATAAGCAGGATGTAGCCCACTATGACAGGGGTGAGGGATGCTTAGGTCAGCTGTCAGCTTCCATTTCCCATAATGGCCCATCCAATGTTGTTAGAATGAAATAACACAGTCAAATAGAATAGAAGAATATCTAGACTGAGAAGGCCTCATTGTCTCTGTGAGAAAAACAACACTCCTGGGATTAAGAAATTCATCCAAGCCACCCATCAGGTCAGGTTATGGCTAGGGCTGGAATCTAGGCTGCTAAATCCCAAGTTGGCATTAATTTAGTAAAAGACATAAATCTACTGGCTTACTGATATCCATCCATCTATGTATCTAGCTAGCTAGCTAGCTATTTTGTTTTTTTGAGACAGGGTCTCACTATATAATTCAGGCTGGCCTAGAACTCACTATGTAGCCCAGGCTAGCCTCAAATTTGTGCCCTCAAGTGCTAGAATTATAGGCGTACACCACCACACCTAGCTTTGAACAATTTAAATATATAAATGACTATAGTATTAGCAATAAGCACCAACAAAACATGAAATTATAAGGAAACATTAAAGTTTAAAGATAAGCAGATTTCAAGAAAATTCCCAGCTACAAAAACAAAATGAACATTTTAAAGAAATCAGTCTTATACTGAGGTCACTTCCTTAGAACGAGAATACAATTACTTAAAACTCATAGGTCTGTGATAACTTACTCAATTATTTTCTGGGGCAGTAAATTATTTCCATGTACATAATAATTCTGATGAAAACCCAGAAAATGAATCCACAAAAAACAAATATTAGGAAAAAACCCAGGAAGTATAATTTTAGTTAACTTTGTCTTTATAAAGGAAAAGCACTCGGGTGTTTTTTCCTCCCCAATTGGCATTTAGATTTTTTAAAAAAGTTGAAAAGTCAAAAAATTTTAAGTCAAAAGCAGGACTTCGCTGGGGATTTAGCTCAGTGGCACCACATCTGTCTTGCAAGTGCAAGGTCCTGAGTTTGAGCCCCGGTACCAAAAAAACAACAACAAAAAAGCAGGACTTGAAGTTTGGCAGCCAAAAAAATGTATCTAATGAAATATATATATATATATAATTTCCAGAACCTACTCCTATTATTTAGCCTCTCAAAACTAAAGCAACATAACCAGGTCTTCCACCAAATCAAATACAGCCCAGACCATCAGTTCTAGTTCAAATTCTTTTAAGCTAGAGGATTATCAAACTAGTCCCAAATAAACTTCAATGACATTCTTTATCCAAATTAAAAAGCCCTTCCCTGGCAAACAGCCAGAAACTGCCTTTATTTCCATTTGCACATATATAATAAACAGTCTTTATAAAACATACCAGGAAAAGAACTCGTCGTTTCTGTCAGAAAAATTCAGCACAAACTCTCCACCCACATTTTGTTTTCTTGATTTCAGATGATTTCTTTAATATTCAACCACACCATAGTCATGAAACAGTCCACTAGAGAGAAACTGAGTTCCTTAAACTGATTTCCAATCCCCAGCAGGGAAGCCATAAAGATGTTTCAATCAGAGAAGAATCAGACACCAATGGCAAGGGAACTTAATTACTCATAAAACCAAGGACAAGTGTTTAATTTACCCATGCAAACAGCTAGCTTCAGGGGGTCTGTGTTGAGATTAGAGTTTGAGACATGAAAACTACTTTGGAGCCACCTAAACCTAAATGGAGGTGCTTATTTAACATACCCTGAGAAACTTGAATGGACCATTTCAATGAAACTTGAATGCCTCAAGTGCTACATATTCTAGGTGCAAATCCAAATAGGTTCACCACATCCACCTACACAAGGTCATACCCTCAGGGTATCATTTTCTCAGCAACCCAAGCCACCATGAAACAGCTGTTCTAAACTCTCACTGTGACACATCTTTTAAAATGTATCGCTAAGGTTCCATGTATGAATCTGTGTGGGAAAAGCTATCCACCAGGCACAGAACTTGGGGCAGCTGTCAACAATTTACTTAATAAGTTAACAATACCAACCAAGACTAAGTGGTTAGTCTGTTGTTCAATCGCTTGTACTCTCTGATGATATCTGATGGCTTTCTTGAATGTAAAAACAGCCATCATCTCTCACAGTCTTGGTTATTTTTTATGAATCTCATCCATTTTTTTTTTTTTTTTTTGTATTGGGGATCCAACTCGGGACCTTGCGCTTGCGTGGTAGGCACCGGAACCAATGAGCTCAATCCCTGTGTCCCCGCCCCCCCCTTTTTTTGTAATCATGGGGATTCAATTCAGAGCGTTCAGTCTGCTAGGCAAGTGCTCTGCCACTGAGCTACACCACCAATCCTGAATCTTACACAAAACAGGAGACAAACATTTTGTTAAACACCTCATGTAGTTCAAAAAAGAAAGAAAGAGTAATTGATATGCTTTGATTCCAACTGCTTGGTAACTTTCATTTCCAAATAATAATTAGATTTCTGGAGTATAAATCACACCATCACCAAATCTTAAGAGCTTTTACTTTACTTACTTGTATTTTAAGAGCAGCCACTGAATTAACCAAAGTCCTACAAGGATCATGCCATTAATTTCACAAATAGAAAAGGCCCACTGCACCCGGTTAAAATGGTCAAAAAATGTGTCTGGTAGTGGAGGCTGCACCTCCTTAGGAGGTACTCGTTCATGGACGACCGAGATCATCACTGTGGTGAGGACAAAACAGGAAAGTGCATAAAGAAAGGCCAGAAAAGTCTTGCCCCACTCCATGGGGTACTGGGAGCGTTCCAGTTCTGGCATGGGGATCTGTATCATCTCTTTCCTATACCCATTTGGTATCCCATTGGGTTTTGTCTTGACGTTGAAGCTGCCATCAGGGGTGGAGAGGTCTACGCCAATGAGGTGCCCATTGGCGTGGCCATTCTTGTGTACTTCCATGTGGTGCTCCATTTTCAGGGTCTCTATCATGTCCAAGAGCCGCTGCCCGTTGTCTGAGGAGACTCGGCACAAGGGGGGTTTTGTGAAATCCTCTTGGGTTAGGGTGATTAAGTCTTGGCCTGTGAAATGTTCCAGAGGTTCACAGTATTCTGGCATAGCATTCTCCAGGAGCCAGTCTGCCACCTTCTTGGGTGACCAATAAACCACTTCCTTCATTGTACTAGCAGACCACAATGCAGTCACCAGCTTGCTCTGGGAGGTCAGCAGTCACTGTTCCTACAGGGCAGGACATTGTCCCTCTTTGGCTGGTTTATCTTGTTGGGCCTCATGAGTGAGGACTCCTTTGGAAAGATGGTCAGGGCAGTTTTTTACAACTTCATGTAGCTGTCTATGGTTCTGAGTGCCCAAGCATTAATTCACCTCATTTTTGAATTGGATTCTTCCTTCTGTGGAAGCAAAGGAAAAGGTCAGGACACTAGACTTCCAAATCTGCCTCTTCAAAATTTAAAGCCTGAGCATGAATAGTGGTAATGGAAAGTCAGTTATGGGGAAAATCCATAGTTCTCAAACATGTGTTATAGTTTTAGGAACCACTGAATCCCTGGTTAGTAGTATTCTCTAAGAGAGCACTAAATTGGATCTGAAAATGGGTAAGATCAGAGGGGACCCATTTTACAGCATCTTTAGTAGTATATTTACTAAGGATAATTCAATAATGCTTTGAACACTGCTCAACACTGACCAGTGATTCTCTTTGTACTTAACATGTTTCCTTGAGAAAACCTGAAAGAATATGGCATTTAACTAGAAAGCCAGCACTACCCCCATCACCTAACTAAAGGAACGCCAACCCTGTGAAGGCAACTCTTCAGAAAAAAACAAGATTAATTAATGGATTCCATTCCACCATTAACTCAGACAACAAAACCAATCCCTCCTTAAGAGAGCCCTTGAGATCTTGAATTCTCCATCTACTCTTCACCAACAAATCCAGAGCTTTCCCTCACTCTTTGGTTGTCATTCTCTGAAAGCCTTTCCTAGCCACTCTATCTTTCCCTACATCACCAACACCTGACACCTGTGATACACAACCGATTGCTGGGTGCATAGTTCAGGAGAAAGAGTGCCAGCTACGTGAGTCTGGAAACTGCAATCAAGAGAGGAAGCTATTTGCCTTCTTGACAAAGTTCTCTCGTGCCTGGTAACCTTGGTTTCCTCTGAAAAACAGGCTTAGCAACCACTTTATCTGCAGGCTTCTAGCTCTGAGGATGCAATCAATCAAGCAAAAGAAAAGTCATGAATGTCTTCGTAATGTATGTCTCCTTTTCTGTAATGTTCTACTTTCCTTCTAATGCCCAAGTGGGCTCATAGTGACATTTCATAAATATTTACTGAAATAGCCACTTCTAAAATGACTTTTCTAAAGCTCAATCATTCTGACATATTGAAAGACAGAGTCCCCATTTCATGAGAAAACAAACCTTTATTTTCAAGCAAGCTCTGAAATTTGAAATTAAAGGCATATATGATTTTTTTTCTTTTGCAGCTGATGTTGAAATCATGCAAAAGGGGAAAAGCTCATTTGTGTGTAAGTGAACTGCTGGAAACTTACTGGGTACATCAAAAGTCATTGCTGATAGACATGCTCACAGAATTCGGCACCACACTACAGAAGTAAAGATGAGAAAGTTACTTTGCCTGGCTGGGCTCACACATTTAATTTAGATATTTTTTGGCATTTTTGAAAAGGGACAGTGTTTTCACATCTAGATTCAGAGAATGTACTTTCAGCAGTTTCCTGTAATGGGATAATTTATTAATCCACTTATTTCATTAGTAAAGGGAATTTACATGTTCCTCACAGTACTTTGGCAAACAAAGTAATATACTAAAACAAGAAAATATTACACTGAGGATAATTTATTCTCTCCTTGAAGATTTAGTAGATTTTTAAAATGACTCATGAAATAAAGAATTCAATTTTCATGACTTTTTACGGTAGGATGGACACAGGATTGAACAAACACAGCCGGCCTATCCGTGAGGAGACTGCAGGGGAAACAGTGTTTGTTTACAGATGCTGATAATGAAAACTAGAGGTAGAAAGTAGTGCAGAAGTGGTCTAACAGACACTTAGTGAGCTACACTTTCTGCTTTACATATCAAAGCTCTACTACAAATGTAATATGGAATATATACATAATTTTACTTTAGTAGCTTACAATCAATGCAAAATCAAAATTTGGTGGGCATGTAACATTTAGCACAGACTTTATAGCTAAAGTACTTGTGGGTACTTTGTTAAAAAGTAGCAAAAATAAAGAATTGGTATTATTTTACTATGCAACAGACTAAATAATTTTGTAAAAGTTTCAAGTTTAGATAAGGTCTTCACATTATTAGAACTTTCCATAAAAGTTAACAGTAATCTGCTTGACCTTTTAAGGCAATGCAGCCCACTAAAACACTTATAAGACAGGTGTTTAATTCCACTTTAACTTGTTTGGATAGCTCCTAAATGCTTTTCTTTAAACCAATATAATAAGCCATACATATTTTTTTTTTTTTGGTATCGAGGATCGAACTCGGATCTTTGTACTTGCACAGTAAGAAGCGAAACCACTGAGCTAAATCCCAGGCCCAAGCCATATATATGTTTATTTAGCATTGGAAGAGTTAAATAAATTGTAAATATTTGAAGAATAACAACTACATAGGTTCAGCTGCAGAATCTACAAATTTCAATCTACAGCTTTGGAAGTTTTAGAAGATAACTTGGTGCCTTAACCTTTAAACTGCCCTTCATTTTAAATTACTATTACATGCAGTGCTCACAATTCCATAGTCTATTTCTGTTTGGCAAATAAAATCATTTCTTATGAAACTGGCTCCTTCAGACTAAGTATATGCTGTATCTGCCTTTTGGTCCACTTACACTGTTAAAACTAGGCCAGGGGTGGCAAACCTATGGTACGTGTGCCACAACGGGCTATTTTTTTTATCAATGGAAGTTCTAAAATGTTCCTCATTACTGCTCTAGGCTATAAGAAGAGCCTCACTTGAAGATATCTTTGGGTGTCCTCCTCACCTGGTTTATTTTGTGATACTTAATACTTAGACTTCACAGTATCTAAAATGCATTCCTTCTCAGTGGCTACCCTACATAGCTCACTCAACTGAGCCTTTGATGTCCTTCTCCCAAAATGTGATAAATACATTAGAATGTAGTAGCTCTCAATGTGCCAAAGGGAAAGAGATGATTTTTGGTTAACAAAATCAATAGGTATAAAGTATGACAAGAAATCAGCTACACCAATTATATACCATATATCATAGTTCTAATTATTTTCTGAGGGCACAAAATATAAAACTGTTCATCTATTATACAGAGTCCTATCACCAGCGAATTCTACTTTCCTTACCCTGAGATCCCATTTGAGTCATTTTGAGTGGGTTATGTACATAAACATTTAGTAACCAGAAAATGGAAGAATAATTTACTGTAGCAAAAGATTAGAAATGGACTAAAAGTTCTACAGTGAGAACGGATAACTATTACACAACAGAATACTAAGCTTCCACTGAAAAGTGTACTATATTTCTATATTTAGGATGATACATATTCATAGCTTTGTCAAGTGAATAAATTAATTAGAAAACACAATACTATCTTTGTAAACACATTATAAATATCATGGTATGAAAGTTCAGAAATTAGGCATCTTCTTAACTGTTATGTTTGGGTAACATAACTATGAAATATTTTCTGCCTTTTTTCAGTATTTTTTCCTCTAATAAATACATTTCACTTGTCTTTGGCAAGGGAAAACTATGGTCCTTCTTTCAAGAATATTCTGTTTTTAAACATGTAGGCTGCACTGTAAAGCTAAATACAGACTTTTGCTATACTAAGTTTCTTTTAAAACTATAAAATGGGTTTGTAAGTCTCTAAGTAACTGGAACCTTTGCCTTCTGTGTATAATTAGGTTCCAGAATCATCCATATTCTAACAGGCCTGAGAGGCGAACCAAGCCACCAACAAAGATAAAGATGACATCCAAACTTAAATGCATGAAGAAACTCCAGGTCTCAGATAGTTCCCATAGTCCCATAGAGAAAACAACAACAAACCATCAGAATTAGAACTGCTCTATGATCTAAATTTCCCTTAGTGGCCAACCACCCAGGTTGCTACAAAATGGAAAAGACCAATAAGCCTTTTAAAAACTCTGCCCGTTGTCATTACAATAAGAAAAACTTTGTATAGCTCTACTGACAACTGATTACCATAGTTTTCCCATGGGATTTCATTCTTAGAACTCTATTACCAAAAATTTTGAAGATAATTTATTCCTACTCAATTCATCAGTTGCCTCTCTGTCTGAAGGCAGCAGGGCTATTCTAATACAATACTTGCCTACTCAATCTGCAGTACTTGGGCTTGGACTCACTCTAGCTGCGCTTGGAAAATGTCAGGACATAACCAGGGTTTTCAAATTCCATTTGCTCTCACATGAGCTGGTGTGTACAGTGCTGATCTTATCTGTCCAAAGAAGCCTAGGAAAGACTAACATAGGCTCTCTGCTCCTATCATACAACACTCCCTTCCTTTGCACTCTTCCTTTTTCTCTTTTTATAAATGAGAACTAAGGGCTAGGGATTTAGCTCAGTAGTTCTGCCGCCTGCCTTGTAAGCACAAGGACCCAAGTCCAATCCCTGGTACCAAACAAAAAAAAAAAAAAAAGGGAGAACTAAGATCCTTTTAATTTACTGCTGGGTTAGCTGGAATAAAGATACATGTATACCTCTGAATCCATCATAAAAATAAATCCAGGCTGTGGGGGAAGAAAGCAAATGGCTTGGGGAAAGGATGAGGCTATGCTTTACTATTCTCTGTTTTTGAGAAACTTTGATTCAGTATTCTAAGGCAGGTATCAGCAGTGCCTGGTTCACTTACACTAGTCTCAGTTACCCATCTTGAAAGTGATAATTAGCTTGTATTCCTGTAGAATGCTGAAAAAAAGATTAGAAATCTGACATGAGATTTTGTAGGTGCCTAAGAATAGCTTTTTAAGACGTCTAAAGGAGAGATTCTTCCTTTCCTGCAGAAAAATCCAACAGTGGTCAGTGAGGAGAATGGGGATAGGATGGTGCCTGGAGGCTGGGGATGGTGACAGAGCCAGTGTCAGAGAAGAGGAATGAGGTCGTCCTGCCCCACATATCCTAGGCGTTCCTCAGCCCTATGTCTTCTCAACCCCAGGAGACGAAGTCATAAATAAAGAGCTGCTAGGAAAATCACTCCACCAGGCACCAACTCCTTCAGAGACATTTGAGGTCAGGCACATGTAGTCAAGCTGGTCACAGAGAAGAGGGAATGATGAAGGGCTGTCACAAACAACACAGGACAAGTCATGCCCAATGCAGTTAAACTTCATCTCTGAACAGC